GTCCGGCAAGCACATGAAGAGGGGTGTCACTGTGGCCACCAAGGACTGGCGTGACGCCGGCGTCGTCACCGCCGTCAAGGACCAGGGCCAGTGCGGCTCGTGCTGGGCGTTCTCAACCACCGGCGCTGTTGAGGGCATGTGGGCTATCGCTGGAAACCCCCTCGTCTCGCTCAGCGAGCAGCAGCTCATGGACTGCTCTTACGCGTGAGTTTCCACAGCACTATCAATAAAATATGACTCGCTTTTGGGACGCGCGCTTGATCAGGTGCAATTTACGGCGGTGCTTCAAGGTCACGCACTGGCTCGCTAATACGGTAGTTAAGACTTACGGAGTAGTTCCCCAATGTGCCGGGATTTATATCTCTTCAAGAAGAGCTGTCGTAGCATCGAAAGAAACACTTCGATGAGTTTCCTTCAATTGATAACTGACTGTTATCGCTATTTTCTCGTTCATTTACTAGAGTGCAATGGTGCGGTTCGAAAAAGGTAAATAATGAAAGAGCTTCACAGTTATCTGTTAACCCGGCTCACAATGGTTATGTTCAAGGACCAGGGCCACCCCAGCCCCCCCCCCCCCCCTGTCCCAATCTTTTTTAATCATTCGTGATGCCTGGTCTCTGCTCTGCTGCTCTTCTCTCTGCTTATTATCCAAACAGGACCCCTGCATGACCAAAAACAATATTCGTCCGACAGGTACGGCAACTTTGCCTGCAGCGGTGGCCTCCAGTCTAGCGCGTTCGACTACCTGGTGGACGAGGGCGGCATCATGTCCGAGGCCGACTACCCGTACACCATGTCGTCGCACCTGCAATGCAGCTACGACCCGGCCCAGTCGGCCGCCAAAATCTCCTCCTGGGTGGAGATCTCCGAGGCCGACGAGACTGAGATGGAGGACGCCGTCGCCAACATCGGGCCCGTCGCCATCGGCATCGACGCCTCTCACTTTTCGTTCCAGCTGTACTCGAGCGGCGTGTACGACGAGCCTCGCTGCCTGAGCGCTTACAACGACCTGGACCACGGCGTGCTGGCCGTCGGCTACGGCACCGAGAACGGCCAGGACTACTGGCTCGTCAAGAACTCGTGGGGCGCCAGCTGGGGCATGGACGGCTACATCAAGATGACCAAGGGCAGCAACCAGTGCGGCGTGGCCACCGACTCTAACTACCCTCTTCCCTGAACACTTCTGCTAGCAAAGAAGTGCAAAAAATAAAGTTCAACGATTTGATTCGCGTGTGCCTTTGACCTGTATGTAAGCGATATGCCACCAATAAATGATTTCACTTCACGCTCGCCCATCAAATCCCCGAGAAGAAGGAATCCAATCTCTACTCCAGAACGTTACCTCGCCATGTCATGGCCTACATGAAGCGTCATACATTGATCGATTGTCCAACAACTTCACTGGCGCTGGTACTTTGAAAAAGTATGCATTGACCCAATGTAACAGAATAACAGAATAGCCATAAAGCGATGATCAATTGCTCATCCGTCCCTGATCAAGAGGATACCCCGCCTCTGTAAGAATCTTGACCCCGCCCACCTGACACTTTTTCTACGATTGTTGAAAGCATGCTGGTGATAGAAAGTTGAAAGTTGAATGGCTGACCTATGATTCAAGCCCAATCACTGACCTTTGAAGTCATAAATGGTCTCAGCCAGTGGCGCGGGAACCGGGGGGGGGGGGGGGGCTAGCGGGGGCTGAGCCCCTCCAACTTTTCGGCTGGGGGGGGGGGGCTCGTAATGTATTTGAGCCCCCCCCCCCCCCCCAGCTGGAGGAATCGAAATAGGAAATCTACCAACATAATTTCATAGATTCATACATATAGGCGCAGGAATTGGGGGAGGGGGCAGTGGGGGAAGCTTGCCCCCTCAACTCTGGGGCCGTGGGGGCAGTGCCCCACAACTTTTCATGAGGCCAGGAACCGTTGGGGCAGCTTGTCCTCCCCAAATTGGGAGTTGTGGGTCACAAAGGAAGAAAGCATGTGTGAACAATCCACCTCTCACTGGCTCGGCAACTCATTTGGCAGCTTAAAACCCTTATTCCAGGTTGCCAAAAAGGTAGTTTCTTTACTCAGCTGAGACGGAATACATCACTTTTTTGTAAATATTTTCTTTTTTTCGTTGAAAAGGCCAAGGTCTGAAAAATAAGTGACCTAAAACCGGTGATAAAACTAAATTTGGGGGTACCCTAGGTTGATCTCTATCATGGTTCAGCCCCCCCCCCCCCCAGTCTGGAAGAAGTTCCCGCGCCACTGGCCTCAGCACCGTCCCAAAATGTCGCAACTCGCAACTTCGCATCAACGCCCGATGCCCCAGTATCTACAGGGATTCTCAGGGGCGCGGGAACTACGTTCAGACGGGGGGGGGGGGCACACCCCTCGCCCCGTTGGGGGGCCATTTTGGCCCCCCTGTGGTTTTTCCTGAATAGCAAGAAAACGGCGGCGCGCAGCGCCGCCAAATTTTCAGTATCTTCTCGGGCATCAATTTGACACCTTCACACCAAATTTCAAGTCTTAGGTCACCTTAGGTCAGGAGTTATTGAGGTCAAACTGAGGTCATGTTCGAGCAAAAATGAGCAAAAAACATGCAATCTTGAAACACTCACCAAATCCACAGTTATCAACCAATTTCAAAGTTCTTTATATGGTCTAGTAGACAAAAAGTGGCGCTACAAAACTGCCATCTCGGATTTTCAGAATTTTTGGTTTTTGACCAAAAAAAAATCAAAAAATTAATATTTTAGAAAAACTAAAAAAAAATCAAAAAACATTCCAAATTTCGGAAAAACCGGAATATGTGTAATAGTCCCTGTGCTCTTCTATATACATACCAAATTTCAGATCGATATCTCGTTTTTTGGCCAAGTTATAGCGAAAAAACTTCAAAAATGATGACGTCAATTTTTTGAACTCAATTTTTAGCGATTCTAGACCTCGTACGGCAAAACAAAGACCACCATTGAACTCCCCGTGACGAGCTGCATCGATTCGATACCCATTTTATGCAAAAATATCAACTTTGAAATTTGACCTTATTTGACCTGACCTTGACCTGACCTTGACCTGACCTTGACCTGACCTTGACCTGACCTTGACCTGACCTTGACCAAAACGTGACCTTAGCTGGCCCCAAAGGCTGCCTGACCCACATAATCGCATATGTCATGTAAAATGGACCATAAAACATGCATCACACGACACTTTCATATTGTGACCCCCCCGTGACCTGACCTCTGTGACCTGACCTGGTATCAATGACCTCAAATAGCAAAATATGTGTTTGAAGAGCATTGCCCCATCGATGATTTTCAATTAAATGCATTTTACTCGATTTTACAACGCATTTCTTGAAATGCCTGTAAACGGTGAAAATTGGACCTTTGACCTGACCTGTGACGTCATCGGTTTGACCTAGGTCAATAAAATTGGGTCACAAGGTAGTTCCCTGATAGGGCTATCCAACACCGTTTGTCGCTTGTCGCTAGGTTACGTGGTTCTCGAGATCTTAGGGGGGGGGGGCCAAAATGCCCCCCCCAACGGGGCGCGTTGCTCGGCAGAGCCCAACGGGGCGCAGGATAATAGAGATCAACCTAGGGTGCCCCCAAATCTAGTTTTCTCACCGGTTTTAGGCCACTTATTTTTCATCCCTTGGCTTTTTCAACAAAAAAAGAAAACATTTGCAAACAAAAAGTGTGGTATTCCGTCTCAAAGCTGTGGAGGCATCGCCCCCACGGCCCCAGAGTTGAGAGAGCAAGCACTGCCCCGGCTCCCGCGCCTATGGGGATTCTTTTACATTTTGCAGGGAGATGAAGCTCACAGAACATAGCCATGGCTATGCCCTGCTTCAAAATAATCAAAACTCTTCTATATAGGAATATTCATAAAGAGAAAATAAGGCCTGATCAATCACAAAATCTCGCCATTGTTTGTCAAAACGGGAAATGCGAGAAAAGTTATTTTGACACAGGAAAAGTTCTAAGACCATCTCAAGCACATGAAATCGTGATTTCATTCATTCCTTGCAAGTTTCAATCTCCGTTGCTGAGCTTTTGTATTGTTGACCTTGCATGACGTTGAGTCAAATGTTCGGATAGTTAAAGGTGAATGATTAAAATTTGAGCATATTTCAAAATTCCAGAGCCAATGGTGCTGTTCAATGTTCAATATCATCAGAGTGCCAGCCATTCAAAACGAATCAGCTACAGACTTGCGTTCAAAACAAGCAACCATGTGACTAAATGTCTAACCAACAGCAGTGTGCATAGAGCACACCACTTCGTCACTAAATGGATCAACAGTGCTTTCGTCCGCCGATTAAACCAGTGCCTGAACACGCCAGCTCCTAGTTAGAGCTGTACGATCGACGTAAGTGATCATCCGACGTTGGCTTTCTCCGGCAGCGTGGGCGCTCCCCAGCACTCATAATCAGTTTGAGTGAGCTCGCGTCGCCTCAGCCTCCCTGGGGGCCGGGGTACTGCAGTGGGAGGGCGGACCCCTCAGTCCAAACGTCTGCCTACTGAGGTCTGCCTACTCGGAAGGGATTGGTGAAGGGAGGGTACGGAACTCACAGAAGTATGTAGATAGATCAGCACAAGGCGTTGGAGGTGTGTCCGGTTGGTGAGTGCTATGCTGAGTTTGAGGGCAATAGAGAGAGAGAAAAAAAAACATGCTGGACGAATCGAGTGAGTACTGAGTTTTGGTTATTTATTCAGCTTTTTTTTCTAAAGAACAATTCGTAAATGCCCTTGATGGAGGGACCAGCATTTAATTATGTAAGCACATTTATATTAAGGCTGAAAGTGTAACACTGATGATGAATATTTAAGGACCATTTGGTATGTTTGGATTTAGATCACGATGCGTACGGGTTCGCCGGTTTCTTCCAAAGCCCACCTACGCCTTAAGAGCAAATGTCTTGTTTTGAATCATCATCCTATATTTTGAGGCACATCCTCTTTCTCATAGCCTGTGAGCCAGAAACATAATTAAAACTAAAACACATCTCATCGTGGTTTGTGTATTTTGATCCCTCAACACAGTTCACCGATGATCTGCACCTCTCTGAAGCGAGCTTACAGGACAGGGTAGTTGGAGTCGGTGGCCACGCCGCACTGGTTGCTGCCCTTGGTCATCTTGATGTAGCCGTCCATGCCCCAGCTGGTGCCCCAAGAGTTCTTGACGATCCAGTAGTCCTGGCCGTTCTCGGTGCCGTAGCCGACGGCCAGCACGCCGTGGTCCAGGTTGCGGCTGCTGCAGTTGGGCTCGTCGTACACGCCGCTCGAGTACAGCTGGAACGAGAAGTGCGAGGCGTCGATGCCGATCGAGACGGGTCCGACGTTGCTGACGGCGTTCTCCATGTCGCCCTCGTCGTGCTTGCTGATCTCCACCCAGGAGGACATGGTGGCCGCGATCTGAGACGAGTCGAAGCGGCAGTTGAAGTGGGACGCCTCCTCGTACGGGTAGCTGGCCTCGGACATGAGGCCGCCGTGGTCCATCAGGTAGTTGTAGGAGCTCGACTGGAGGCCACCGCCGCAGCCCAGGTTGCCATACCTGAAAGCAGAACAAATATGATATGATCAGCTGGGCGTTGAGAAAGGATAAACAATAAATTTGATCCAAATAATGGGACTTTTAGGAATAAGAAAAGAGTAAATGCCTGAAAAAGTAGTCAGACATCGGATAAAATAAAAACTTGTACCTATCCAAAGACGCTCACAAAGAGGAGCATTTAAACTTGTTGAGGAAACTGCTTCCACGGATTATTCGAGTACGTGGGGAACTCACATAAGGGAGCAGTCCATGAGCTGCTGCTCGCTGAGCGAGACCAGCGGGTTTCCAGCGAGGGCCCACATGCCCTCCATGGCACCGGTGGTCGAGAACGCCCAGCACGAGCCGCACTGGCCCTGGTCCTTGACGGCGGTGACGGCGCCGGCCTCACGCCAGTCCTTGGTGGCGGCGCTGACGCCGTTCGAGATGTGCTTGCGGGACATGCGGACGCCACGCTCAGCGGCCGTCTTGTATCCGAGCAGCTGGCGGTACTCGGCGTTGGTGAGGTCGGCGAACTTGTTGACGCCCAGCTTGAAGGAGTGGTTGCCGGCGTTGTGCTCGGCGATCAGGCGCTGGTTGTCCTTGAAAATGGCCAGACGGACGGCCTCCTCGCTAGGGTGCGAGTACGTCTTGCCATGGGCGCTCTGAAGAAAGGAAGGGGAAACATTAACTGCTTTTTCATAGGCTGGCTTTGCCTAAATGGTTCATTACCCATGTCCGCTGCTGTTATTACTATCGAAATATCCAAGATCATCAATGGCATTGTCCATGAATAAAGACATATTTTGACCGTGTACACTGTACACTGCATTATTGGACAGTAACGTAGATAGTTAACAATTTGTAGTCTGTCCTTCACACAAAAGTTGATTTAGGAACAGGAAAAATAAGTTTTTAGTTAGGCTCTACCCATTGCTGGATGGCTTTTACGTCCAGCTACTGACCTTGAAGGCGACCCACTCGGGGTCGGTCAGCTCAAAGCCGACGGCCAGCTGAGCCAAAGCCAACACCAAAAGCACCTTCATGATTCCGAGCCTGAAATTCAGAGTTCAAATGTGTTGCACATCATCGGTCAAACAGACACTTATTCATTTCGGTTTAACATGCTCTTTTATAGATTCACTTTCTAGGGGCACATGCGTGATCAGGATTGTTTAATTTTTGTAGTTTTTTTTCTTCCTCCTAATTTGTTTGTTGGAAGTAGTCAGGCAATGTGGAGTTATACCTTCAGTAACATTTCACATCACTCTTATTTACGTTCTCATATATCGTCCAATGTCCACCTTTGTGCTGAAAACTGAGTTGATTCATCAGTCATCATCAGCCACTTTTTGAGATTTAAAGTTTTGCGTTGAAATAGGTTTAACTACATTTGAAATAGTTTTCATCCATCTCCCATTGAAAACGTCAGCTCTCAGTACACTCCTCTCACCTTGCAGGGATCCGAAGATGCCATTTGGATAAACGCATGGCTTATATAGCGAACAGCGCACCAGCTCGTATCAGCGGGGCCAGGTGGCCCGCCAAGGGCGTCTCTCACGCCATGAGAGACAGGCGCACTGGTAGGCAGGCTCCTGGCTGCGCAGCGCGGCTGATAAGCGCCCCGGGCGCTGTGACCTGCCAGCTGGGGAGGTGGCTGACCTCGAGACCACTGGGAGACGGGTCAGCTGACTATTCCGGGGCGTTCCGGTCCGGACCAGATCGCACTGTTCAGGGTGACAAGCATAATGTTGTGGGCGAACACATTTCAGTGCTCTGAATCGGCGCTCAGTGCGTGCATGGCGGTCACTGCCTTTTATTATTAACTGCGCTTTTTAGCTGGCAAGGCATTTTCATTGGTAAAATGTCCGCATATATTTCAGAAGGTACTTACTGCATAGCTACTAAGCAATGAGTTTTGTTTTTGAGATTTTGTTGACCTCTTTCAATCTCGGTTTTAAGGTGACCATCCCACCTTATCATAAGTTTTGAGTTGAGATAGCCAAAATGGGTTCCCTGGCTTGCACTTACCGGTTTGAGCACTCACAACATTGAGAAATGCCTATATCTAATGCCTATATCAAAATATCTAATTTCAAAGTTGTAGCACTTTGGATTCAAATGGGCTAATGCATTTGAATACTCCCTCTGAACTGAATGTGTGTCGTCAGCGCGGATCTGACGATTTTAAATCTTTTGCTTACGTTTGTTAGCACGCGGTGGTAGACGCTGCTTTGCGCGCAACAAGTGCCACACTTTCAGCTGCCAAACTATTGCTTCCAAATAAAGTCGCTAGGAACAGCGGAGATCCCAAAAAGTGAACAAAAGTAAAAGTTTAATATCTTGAAAACCGGTGAATCCTTTTCGGTGAAATTTGGTAGATATTCGTTTTCGCTCTTTCTGAACCGAGCGACATTACTTTCATGCCAATTCATTAACTTTTTTGAAGGTGGGAGGGTCCCTGTAACATTTCAGTTGTTCATTTTGAAACGAATCTAAATGGTGAATGACATTAATCGGAATGATTTAATTGTAGGTAGGTAGATTCAATCGTACCTATTTTTGAATTTTTATTTGTGAATATTCTTATTTAGCAATTAGCATTCATACTAACGCATCAATTTTACGTTAATGAGCTCGCCATCAACTTTCTTCGACATTTCTTTTAAATATGAGATTTCCCAAGTCATTTAGCGTTAATCAATAATCAGGTTATAGGTATCTTACAGCTGGCTTTAGGAAATATAAAAAATATTGCAGTATCGTTTCATATATCTTTCATAAAAGATTCACTAGTGTGAGCATAACGACTAATGAGCCTAGCAGTAAAAACAACGAAAATGAATAGAAATGTGCAAAGGACGTCTCCATTTCTCCAAACAGCTTTATTGATGCACGGTTTCAGAATCCTTCCTTGATGACTTTGAAACTTTGCTTAAGCCAGTTGCTAAGATAAGATAATTATCAGATGGAATGACAGAAAAAGATATATATCGGTTTTTCTCCTCCTTGCCTTCTCCTAAAACATAAACAGTTAAATTCATAAAATTGTTATTCCAAAAAGACACAGCGCAGCAGTGAGCATTGTGTATGTGTAATTATTGTGTAGGTATAGTCATGGCAACTGCGATACGATTGAAACACTCTTCGCCGAAATCTGCGGAGTAAATACGCTAGAAGTTGCGCTAATTGAGCCATCATCGAAGCCGCATGTGCCAAAGGTTAGTACGGCTAGAAGGATAATCTAGGCTAGGCTGTATACACGTATTGACGTGTGACGTAACACTTCATACTACGTATGAGCTCGGCCACTTTCTGCCTCTTATACCATGCATTCATATATGCACTGATTGATATGGAGCAAAACAGAACATCATTACGCATTTTACTCATTAACCACATCAGTATGGGCTAATCTACATTTACGAAAGAAGTGCGTCTCTTCTGCGTGATATGCTGTGCCGCACTACACACGTCCTGTGAGGTAGACTGCACCGCACGACTTCTCAATGTCCCGACGCTCTGCTGCCGCCGCCGGATGCAGGGGCGATGATTCGATCAGGGAGCAGGCTGTGCGGATGCATTTCTACGGGCCGACGGAGATTACATAAAATTAAAACAACTCTAAGTAATTTTTACATTTTGTAGACCACTGATCATCATCCCCTTTCATAGCATTTGACCTCGCTTTTAGGTCAGGCGACCACAACCAGGCAGCTAATCTCAAATCCGCAGAGGTTCTGAGGGCGTAGATCACTCCCTTGATGGTAGACTGTGCCGCAGTACCACCGCGGTTAGCTATGAATTTACCTAGACCTATACACGCTCTTAGAAACTGGGTGTTTCCAGGAATGAGGTTCCTGTAAAGTTTTCAGTTTCCTTTTTCCAGTAAGGTGGCCGTGAAGGCACCGGCCAAGTAAAACCGGTTGAGCCGGCCCAATAGCCCCACATTTACATTTTGTACAGTTTTTTTTTCTTCTATAAATTTCACGATTCTTGGAAAAGGCATCAATTTGTTTTTGTATATGTTAATTGACGAGCGCATGACGCCACGATATTAGATTTTGTTTAAAATCTAATCATTTCATGCTATGCAGCTTTCTCGATGGAAGTAAAGGTCTCCATTTTCGTCCAAATTCATGCATACCATGGTTTTACATGCGTTTTATCGATTTTGAAAAAAATAAGAGAAACAGAATGTTGATACTTTTCCGCGTAGTTCCTCAGAAATGGCAAATATTTACAAAGTTAACTCACTTCATTCACTTGCGGCAGGTAATCATCGTGGAAGGGGGGAGGGGGATCTACCCAACCGGCCAAGTTTCCCCACTCTCCCCCCGCGTCCTGCCGTTGTTACCGACTACCAACACAAGCCCGGGAACAGTGATTCAATTCACTTCAATCAGGATTAGAATAAGTCAGCCGAAGGAGCATGCTGCTATTGTGCATTATGAAGTCAGCGTGCACGTAAGCTGTTGATCCACTTTTTAAGCACACAACCAAACTTCTGTCTTCTTCCAGGAATTCCAGTTTCAGACATCTCCAAGCTGAAAGACTTGAAGCCTTCAGCGAATCTGAGCATCGATCCAAATGAAGCGCAACGCAAATGGAAGTTTCGAATTACAATTTTATTATGGGAGCGCCTTATGTTGAGCGGCGTTGCCGGGAGCCGCTCGGGGTTATGCTAGTTTTATGATGGGAATCTCATTAGGGCTGTGCGCGCAGCTCGAGCCGCGATTGGTCGCCAGGCCGGCCAGCGCATGACTAGCCACGCCTCCGCCCTCCTGCTGACCAATCATGAGCCTCATCGATCGGCGAGCTGGGCCTGCCGCCGACTGCGGCTCTGCCTGCGCCTCTCGGAAAGGAGACGCCCTTTCTGGAAACAATTGTAATAAAGTGCCCGAGTGGCCGACGTGAATCAGCCCTGAGCGCGATTAGTTTGTCTGGGCGGAGGCGAGTCTGAACGCCGGCCGGTGCGGCGGCGACTTCGGCCATTCATGAAGGTGCCGTTACTCCGTGACGCCGCTGATGGCGGCGTCACGGCCCTGAAGTGACGGTCCTCTGAGTGTGACGCCATGAGGTTGATTGGACTCCAGACTTTGGCGCTTGGCCAGTCGCCCTGCCCGACAAAGAACTGGGTGAGCGAGACCTGGTCGCCACTGGCAATGATGGCTGAGAGGGATGAACAAAACATAACGCAGTCTCTCATGAGCCGGCAGACTGCAATGGCAGCCAATCTCCGCAGAGACTGTCGTCTATGGGCGCCTATGATGATTACCTTCCGGCCGCCGCCTGCTACCGAGCGGCTCAGGCTGACGCAGGGGGAGTCAGCCCTCAATCCCTCCCCCACCCCCTCCCGCCACCCAAGCAGCCCGTTTGTGCCGGAACAGAGCGACCTGGCCGCGATTTTATCGCCGGCGGCCGCTGTTACTGGGATGGACCGAATGCAGGCGCTGATTCGCGACGACCCGAGCGCATTTCAACTGGCGGCGGGTGCTCGATCCGCTCCGCTATCGCCGGCCACTACTTTGCTGGGAGAGCCGGCTGCTGTTGTGTGGGCTGAACCATGGTAGAACTGGACCTTTTCGGTCTAACATACCTATCTAGACTCTAGTGGTGCCTGGTGGTGGCATGATCAGTGTCAAAGCGTTTATAAAAATGAGCACAATTATTCCTCTTATGAAGAGTAGCGTGCTCGTTCTCGAACTGTTCATGTTTCTTAATCCTTATTCGACTTAAGAGTAGGAAACCTATGGTAACCTATGGTATCATGGATTAGTGGCATAAGAAACCTAAGGTATATAGGTTCATGGGTTGAAATTAGTGGTTTTCGCGACGATTACCTGGCACATTATTGATCACATTTGGCGCTATTTGGCCAAATACCTAAAGTCTTAAGTAGGTAATCCGTGTGTTTCGAAACGTTGTGTTGTCAAAAACGTGCCAACATGCTTAAATTATATTTGCATAGACTACTACATATCGCAACACGCTCGTTTTTTCCGCGAAGCTCTAGCTCGATGGGTGGGGGTGGGGGCAAACGCAAGGGGGTCGTACCCCCCCCCTTGTGCCGTCGAAGGACAAGGCGTGGCTAGACCACTGTACACCATGACCTCTGGTGTACCGCTGTACAGGCTAACGTATAAAAGGCGATAAGGCTAGCACCATCTCTCTTTTGACAGTTAGGCTCTTATAGTTTCGTCAATGAGCCCAAGCTAGGACAATACCATGCTGGATACCTGGAGCCAATTGTCCCACAAACGGCTTACTCAAGCAATGAGAGTGCCATACCCAAAGGGCTATAGGCTAGTAGAACGGTACCTACGGAGCTCGGGTTGGATTTTTTTTTTTTTTTGTCAGGCATGAAGCATGCCACAGATATTCTGTTGCTGCTGCATCAATTATAACGCATCATTATCAAAATGAAACTTGTTTGTGATATACCCGTTGGATAGAACATACCGCTTGATGGTGATTCAAGATCTAATGAATTGCAATAAGCCGCTAATCCTTGACACTTTCGTTCCATTTAGTATTGTGGCGCCTATGAGATCGGATCGCTATAGCGTGGTAAGAGCAGCATTGGGGTTTCAGTTTGGTTGTGGAGTAGCAAGGCATCTTCTAATAATTTCAGAATTTCGGATATTTTTACCTAAGGGTGTAATGCTTGACACACCCTGGATGTTGATAACCTACCTTATAATGCTCGCTTTCTCTGTCTTAGAATGCTGCAAAACATAAATTATTTCTAACTTTTCTTCTCAACCGTTCTATCCTTCTACCTGGTGACCAAAACCAAGATTCTTGCTAAACATAGCCTTGCCGCGTCCCTGACTCGG